CGTTCTTCATGATGTGCGTACTTTCTTCTTCAGCCATATCTTCATTACCATTATATCTCCTCCAACACTTGCTTGATATTTATGTATCTCATACACGATTTTTACAAGATTAATATTTTGCTGCATGTGTGTGCTATTACTTACTAAGTATACTAGCAATGGGAGCCTATAAGCCTAGCCAGACTTTTGTCCTGGAATTTGCAGGGTGCTGCTGCATGGGAGTGGCCTTGTACTGATTATGATATTATGAATGCACTGGGACAACAGAACTCAGATGGCCAAATTGCCAATACTACCTGTGCGACTGATGATAGTGCAAGGTAAACTCAGGCAACTGATTCAACTGAGTTTGCTTGATGGAATATCAGGACTACTAGCACATGCCATATAATCTACTAATGTCTACCATGTCTATATCAGCCTACTGGGTATATTGTGAGAAGAATGAAGGCTACATATACGATGTGCAAACTACATAAACATTTTCTTTTTCCTGATGCGGGAAGCGCTCGTGGCCCCGATCACCCCACCCCCCAATAACATCAACACCAGCCCCACTCCTAGTCTTAAACCCCGCAGCGCTTAGATCCCCCCAGCACCCTTCCGATCCTCTCCAGTCTACACCTCCCGAAAAGCTTCTTAACCTTGGCTTCTCCAGCTTTATTACCCTCTGAATCCAAAGCCCAAAGAATATCACCGTGTTTTAGAATCCCACTGTGCATGCGGCCGACGTATGGGATTTGGAGTTTGAGCATTGAGAATGGCGTGGTACGGTCCAAGTGGCGAGGCGGCGGTTGGTGTTTCCGTATGAGCTCGAATAGCGATGGCCATGTTGGAAGAAGCGGTATCGGTGCTGGGTGTAGGGACAAAAGAACTGCTTTCTTTCTGTAAAAAGTTTGATAGATTCGTCTTGGATTCGTCGCGCAAACGATTAGCGAGTTGGGCGAGACGGGTTCGGGCCTTGCCGAGCACCGTTTATTTAAATTAGCTAAGCTTCCGCATGCCTTAACCACGAACGGCACAACCTCTCTTGCGGTGACGAGATTGAGGCTCGAGTTGGAGAGCGAGCTTGCGAGCTCGAAACAACTCAAGCAGGGGCTTTGTAAGCGCGATGCGGTGATGCCCGCTTCACCACGTTCCGTGGTGTTGACAGCCTTCTGAGGTCTGTGCGCTCTGAGGATAAAGTCGTTCGTG